GTATAATTCAAAAATAGTAACAGAGTGAAGATCAGTTTTTTTTTTCTAAAAAATTTCTATCAAATTTAAAGGTTTATAGAAACTTGGTCTTGGAATTAGAATTATTTTAGTTCTTCAAATATTTTCATCACATCAAGTAAATAATTAGTATGTATTAAGTTAGTTGACCTATATCAAATAATTGTTAAAAATTTGTACGGATAATAATTTTAAAAACCGAAATTATTATGAAATTGCTTTAAAAACCAATCTTAAACTTTGTCAAAGTCAAATTTAAAGTTCAATTAAGATTTTATGATCGTTATCATAATATTTTTGGTTTCTGTAATTGTTTTTTCATTATAGACTAATAAATATTCGATAATAATGAATTAATTTACTAGAAATAAGAAAAATTGCCACAAATCGAAATTATTTCAGTTGCGAGCATTTGATAAAAATGTTTAAACTAACGAATAAAACCCAATTATGCACAAATCTCTTTTGACGTCATCACATTCTATAAGAAATATTAAAAAGAAAATTATTTTTCAGTTTTTCAATAATTTATTTGTTTAGTTACTAATTAGTAATTATTAAAAAAAATTTGTGATTGAAAATATTTGAAGCCGAATTGTAATCAGCGTCGAAAGTTCATATGAAATTTACCTGAATATTGTAAAAAAAACTGTAAACACAAATTCGACTTTTTTATTGTACGCTAATGATGGCAGCTATTGTAGTGACATAGAGAACAGCTGTTATTTTATAACATTATAATAATATATATTACGCGTTAAAAACATTATTATAACATTTTTAAAAAATTCTGTTTAGAGGACAGGCCAGAAAGAAATTTGTTTGTACTATAAAGAGTTCAATACCTCTAAAAACCATCAGCTTTCACTAAGCCGGCTTTTTATTAATCAATATTTATTTATAAGTAGTAAAATATTTTTTAGGTCTATCCATTATAAATGTACCAACTTAATTTATTTAAATAGTAACATACAAATTTTAATTGATTAAATGTTAGATAATAATCCAATCAAGAAAATGATTGATTTATAACAATATTTGAACCAGTATTTTTGAAGGTTTTAAACTGGTGACGTATGCGTTATATTATTATACATTTCTTTGCAATGCTACTCCCCACACTAAAGTATAAAAATATTTATAACATTTGATCTACTAATTCAAAAGTTGATTTCGACTAGTCATTTTCTTAGATGGATAATTTTCTATTTTTTTATTTAGTTAAATAAGTATATGAGCATTTAAATTACTTAAGATGGTACTTTTATAATATATAACAGATAAGAGATAGATCTAATTTAATCATTTATAAATTGAGAAATAAATAACACCAAACAAAACCAAAAAAAATATTCTCAAAATTGTTATTATTTTAGAAGAAATCTATTAATTAGGGATAAATCAATCACCTGTATATGTAAACTATTTCAATAATTACAATTGATTCAAAGTTATTCATACACCATAATATGAAACTATATTTTTTTCTATACTCTTTAAAAAAAAAATTATTTAAATTTTTATCGGTAAAAGAAATTTGATTTCATCTTTTTGTGATAATTGGTATGTTGCTATAAATATCAATTGTACAACTGAAAGATTATTTTCAAATTAAAATAATTTGACTTTAAAAAATAATTAAATTTTATGTGTTTCCAACTGTTTTAATATTTGTATGCTATAGATAAATATTCTGTTAATTTTTATGAGATCTTATTTATGTGTCACAATTAAATTTAAATATTCCTCATCGTAGACTAAAATTTATTGTAATAATAAACAATGTTAATTAATGTAAATAGTGAAAAAGCCTCATAAATAAAAATATCTCTACTATTAATATGTTTTTTAGAAAAATGAAATCTGTAAAGTTTGAACTTTTTGTTTATTAATTTATAATAAATTATAAATTAATATAACTTATGTTTTGTAAAATTATAATGATCAATATTAATTTAATATACAAATAAAATGATATTAAGAACCTTTAAAAAATTGGATTTTTCATTCGGTATCAATTTCTAAAATAATTCTTAATAACAATTATATGGCGGCCACACCAATACCACAGTGAAAAAAAACAAGCAATTTGATGTTTCAATTAAGTTTAGATCTTAAATTTTTTTATGTCAAGACCAGCACCATTGTACAATAATAATACTAGCACTTATTCATTTAATAAATTCTAACAAATTTATAGAGAATATAAAACCGAGTTTTATTAAAACTGGTCGACTAGTATCGTAAGAATATCAATTATAACAGTGACATCGTTAAAAAAGTTCTGTTCGTTGGTCGATCCAATCCGGTGTGCAAAATCTAAACGCGTAAGGTTGTAATAGCTTTCGGCACGTATAAGAATTTGGCAATACTTTGACAAAAAAGAGATGGGGAAAGAGTGGGAACAATGTAAAATTGTGAGAGTAGCGAACAAAATTGGTTCGGGTGTTCATTATAATATTAATAAAAATAATTGCTGAGCTGCATTAAAAGGAAAAGGAATTTTAGCCTAACTGTTGAAACAAGTTCGTTTGATGGTTAAATCAAAATTGTGTTAAAAAATATCTATAATCACGTTCTTTTGAATTCAATAGTGAATAGTGCTCTCATTCTGCATTTTACAAAATAAACTATAGTTTCCAATACGATGATACTCGGGCTTAGAGCATAAAACATTGAAAATCCGAGAATTGTGCCGATTTCTCTGGTTTGGAGATTAATTAGCAATTTAGATACGCAATTCAAATTATTTGACGCTCGCGTATATACATTTAAGTCCTTCATACACTGGTAGGTTTAGTAGCCGATTTTCCCACCCATGATCTCATCTCACGTATCAAAGCGTAGGTTGGCCACCACTCACAAACGACTTTAAATATTAAAAAACAAAAATTTTCTATAGTACATGTTGAAAAATACGATAACAGAAACTAAAAATATTGTGAGATCATTCTTGAAACCTTAATTGAACTTTAAACTTGACTTTGAAAAAGTTTAAGCTTAGTTAATATTTTCAGTTTTTGTAGTGTTTTGAATACATTATTGCAAATATTAAAAAAAAGTATTTTTATTCCTAGAATTAAGAAATGCCAACCTACATAAAATGTAATTTTTTGATTGTCCCCGTTTTCCGCCAAGATGACTCTTCTCTCTTATGATTTCCGTCAAAATAGGTTTAAATATTTTATGAAAACCCTAAACTAAAATATAAGAAAACAAATAATACCACGTATCAATTGTATATAGTTTGCATTAAGTCACAGTATGTATATATAACCTAAAGCTACTACGTTTAATCAAAAAAAAGTTTTTCAATACAACTGATAAATTTCATGCCGTTAAACTGTAAATTCTTTTCGAAATCATAGCGACAAATTTTGCGTAACAGTTATTTCTCGATGTGAATAACTCGATTCAGTTAGACAAATTATGTTAGTCGATGGAAATACTTTATTTCATGTAAAATTACATATAAAAAATACATATTCTATCAAAAAAAACATAAAATACGATTGTATAGTTTACTAGTGAAATAAACAAAAAATCAAATGATTTATGGTTTATTTAAAGAATAACTTTTTTTGTAGTTATTTTATGAAAATATCACAAAAACAATTTTTTTCTGCTTGCGCCAATGCTTATAGCCTCTCCATAAAAAAATCTTCTAAATTCAAAAATCATAAAAAATATATAAATATAATATATGTCCCCATTGAAACACAGTTGCCATTGTTAAGGGATCAAAAAAATTATAGGAGCATCTATAAAAAAAAAATTTTAAATCGCAATCGCGCCTAAGACAGGGCGCACTTAAAAAAATGACTGACCGAAAATCGCGACGTTCAAAATCGGAAGTAGGGCAGGGTGAGTGAACACACAAGTACCGTCCATTGAACTAGTTTCAAAACTTATACAACTAACCATTTCACACGCACCCTAATAAAATTATAATATCTTATCATGATTAAAGAATATAATAAGACAACACACGCATTTGAATTTTAAAAGCTAAATTTTAAGAAAACTTACAAAATATACAAAAAATTAAGAGTGCCTTTTTGTCGTCTTATAAAATATTAGTAAAAAAATCGAAAATAATTATTTAATAATTAAACAATATTTAATAATTAAAATTTACCACAATAGCAAAAATAATAATATAAGTAGTAACATTTTTTTTAATTTAATGCATAAAATTTAATTTATCTACTATAAGAAAATGAAGCCAAAAATTCCATATGATATAAATTGTTCAAGTTTGTAGCTAGCTAATATTATTAAAATTAATATTTTTAACACAATTTCAATTTTTAATAAAAAATTTCCTTACTTATTCATAATGATACTTTATATCACTTTAGTTGTAGTAATGTTTATTTTTAAGTAACTCTAGTAATTATTTTGATAATAATAAACATATACAGAATGTTCAGTAAGTAAGGAAATAGGTCAATTGTTAAAATCAATGACAACAATAGAAATCCATTTCCTTACTTACTGAACACTCTATATATTACACTATATTCAACAAAGAAATTTAATTGATTCGCATCGTAACATTTTATTATGATAGTGTCATTAATCTATCAGATATCATCTACACTTGAACCAACATTTCCACGTTTACACTGTGCTGTTTTTTTCTATAATAAAATTTTTTTTTTCAAATATTCGTATAATAACTTGAATACAATTAATTTAAAGTATTTGAATAGTTATTTTGAATACATTTTTTTATCAAAGTATTTAATAAATATTTGGAATACTAACATTTATTTTACCCGAGTCCCAAGTTGTAAAATGCGATTGCATAATACTTTAAGTTTATACAATTATTAACCTTATAAATTCTTGGAAAAAAATCGAATTCGTCAACTAATTACTTAGATATGGTAACAATTTTCAAAAAACCAAGTCATTTTGGTTCCTAAACCTGCTTTCAAGTAACTTAAGTTTATAAAAAATTAAAAATTAATACTTACAAAGTATATGCCCAGCAACAATATTATACAAGTCAATAAGCCGAAACCTCCGCAAAACAAAACAACTATGTGAAAAATTACAGTTACTGGAACAGATAATTTTAAAAACATATTTTTTTTTATTTTCCAAATAACATAAATAATATAAATGTTTATAATATTATTTTAATTTATACATCTAAATATGTGTAATTGAACTATTATTTTAAGCTATTTTTCTCTAAAAAGTAGGTGCATTTCCAGGCCACTATAATGGGATGAGGGGAAAATAAAACACTTTTTAGTTGCGTCATTTTATTAATTTTTAAGATCATTAACTTCGTTTTTGATGGTGCAAAGGTTATAATTTTCCAATATTTTTCTTTTTTTGTTTTGCACTATATTACAAAACATACATATCATTAAATATCAAAAAAAAATCGATTTTAATAACACCAAAATATAATAATAAACAAAATATGAACAAAATTAAAAAATTATTGTAAAAGATGTGTTTTTGAAACAAATTGGAAAAAATTTAACATATCCACTAAAAATTACAGTATTTTCGTGTTTAGAGGCAGATTTTTTTATATAATACAATTATCAAATTGAAAGAAAAAAATTTTTTCATGATTTTTACACCCCCGAGGTATTTTGGTTAATGATTGGATTTTCAAAAAAAGTGTGTCGTCAGTAAGATAAATTTCTGAAGTGATATATACATACTATATGTTGTGTTACGTTATGTATATTGTAAAAAATAAATAGGAAAATAAAACCAATAGCTCTAGGCTACGCATTATACTTATTACGCTAATACTTAATGAAAAGTTATTCAAAAATAAATAAATATTTTTAATAAAATATATACAATGAAAAAGTTAACCAAACGATAATATTTATACATTATTATTAAGCCTTAGGTAACCCGTAAAATTTTATCATAATTAAAAGATAAAAGTTTTAAAAAAATATAACGATTTATGAGACTATTTTAAAATTGAAAACATTTTTATTAAAAAAAAAATTAGAAATCACAGAATATATCAACTTACTTTCAGAAATTATTTCTGGTTCTAAAAAACTTTTACTTTGAGGTGCAGTACCATTACCAGTCCAGTAAGGTCTTTCGATGTGTAAAAAAAATCCTATAATACCAGTGTTGAGACTAAAATAAACCTGAAATAAAATATAATTAAACATTAAAAACGTCACGTACAATTTATGACCTTATACACAGATGCACTATATATAATTAAATATTTATAGCTGAGTATAAAAAACAATTTAATTTACATCTCTTTAGTGTTTTGTTTTTAAGGAAATTAGCTAACATTTTCGTAGCAATTGCGCGTGTTGGGTGGTACCATTATCATTATTATCATAAAAATTGAATACAAAAATTAATGTAATATTTATTCAGCATATTCTAAATATTATGCAATTAATAAACGTATACTAAACTAACTATAATTTAGATAAACAAACATGGCTTAACACAGAATGTACATATATGTATATAAATAAACATATATAATACAATGAATATATATATATATATATATTGTATATATAACGAACAATAACTAAGCTACTTCCTATTATAAATGAAAAAAATAGTCCAAAAAATAAAAATTATTAAATAATTATTTGATTATTAAAATAAAAATGAATTATTCCCTCAAAACCATTTTATGAAACGTATTTATTATATTTTATTAATAAAAAAGTGCCCCAAGAGTAACCCTTAGGAAAAATAGTAGTCATATGATTTTTATCAAAAATGAAACATCAAGTCAATAATAATTTACAGCAGTAACGTGTAAAATAAAATAATAACAATAGTCCATTACAATTGTAAAGCTATAAAGAAACAAATGCATAGACTAATAAAATTAATGATAATAAAAACAATAATTATTTAATCAAAACTATAGTGCTTTCATTGCTGTTTATTTATATTTTTTTGCTACTTGTATTTTATTTGTTGCGGAATTAAAAAAGCCGCGAGGAAAAAATGCGATTTAATAAGATAACACTAGCAAAATTGAACATCACATAAAGTAAACGTATTGTTATTGTTAAATTCCCCATATTAAATGTAGTAGGTTAAATATATAAGGTGCGGTTTTTATAAAACCAAAAGAATTTTCATTATCTCATCCAGCAATTTTTGTTGTAATTTAAATAAATTGAAAGCAATTTTTTGAAGAACTTGTTAACATTTATGATACTAGGATATATCCTTAAACTACCCAAATGAATATTGTTATGCATATTGAAAAATTATATTCTCATAATTTTCGTATACATATGTATATAATGAAATTTTTCAGTTTAGAGAAAAATCTATGGGAGCAATTTGATTCAGTTTTTAATTAAAAGAACTACCCATAAAAATATAATTAGAGACAGACGTAATAAATTCGGAATTCAATAATATAATTCAATTATATTGTCAATATATTTAAACAATAAATATATAATATATACATTTTGAATAAATTATCTCACCACCAACTTCTATAACTTTAAAGTATCAACACATTAATACAAGTCTTTTTAATTCGTGAACAAATATTTCCTTAAAAATAAAGTATTGTGTTGACTAATCAGATGCATATAGTTGAATAATGTACTACAAATGACTCTTCAAATTTATTATTACATATTTCTTCTTAGTTCATTAAAATAGTGTTAATAATTAAAAAAAAAATAACTGAAACTAGCAAGAAAAAATTTCCCGAGTATAACAAAATGAAACTTTTACTTTCGTTGTCAACTCTGTTATACATTTTTTTAATTACACTTAAACTTAAAATTTGTTGATTTTGAGTAAAAATAAAAATGAGACCTAATAATAAAAAAAAATTTTCCTTGCTTTGCTTTAAATACTCCTTAGATGCCGAAAAAAATCCTAAACAAGGCTTTTTCTCGACTACTTTTACAATTGTCACAACAACACTACTCTATTTTAAAAAAGTTGTTTTCTATTTTAAAGCAACATACTAATTATAGATATGGGCATTGAAAATTATAATAATCTAAGTGAAGAATTATTAAGATTCCAATTAATTTGTTTAGAATTTTTTTTTATTTTCATTGATTGAGATGCGATTTTATTTTATTTATTTGGTTGTCGATAAATATAAGAAACAAATTAATAATAAGTATATGAATATTTTTTTGTGTATTACATTGAAATAATGAAATAGAATATAATTTCAAAGGGTTTGTCAATAAAGATAGTGTAATTAATTGTACACAGAATAAACACAATTATAACTTATGCGACCATTTTGTATAATATCAGCAAATAAAAAACTAAATAATGCAGTATTGAAAAATTTACTGCAATGTGCGGGTACATTTCATACATTAAAAGTCTGATATTTGTGCATGGTTGAGAGATTTGGTATCTTCTCTTTACATTTTGATAAATTGGTCATGTAATGATATATTAAACGCGTGACACACAACCGTTAAACAACGTTTAATGTTGTCTATTTTCTAAAATAAGAAGAACTGTACATTAAACGGAATGTAGAAATAAATTTTTGATAAAAGATAAATTCACACATAAATTTATATGATTTTTTCTATAATAATTAATATGGATTAGTTTTGCTATAACCATAGTTTTTAATTGACAGAAAAAATAATTCTACCTGTTCCTGCAATATAACTTATAAATTGTGTCATAATTAAAATTTTTAATGTTTTACAACGATATCTATTAGACGACCAATAATTTTAGTTAGGTCACAAAGCTGATGTTTTGACAGTTTCCCTTGACGTCTCACCATTAATTTACCAAACCGCAATACACCCTACAATACAATAACGATCGCAAAAAAAAAATATTGTTATCTATTGACCTTTATAAACATTCATGTTTTTAAATGATTATTTTGTTGGGGAACAATCTCAAGATAAAAATTACTCAATAACAAAATTAAAGTATCGCATAAAATTGGATAAGCGTGAGATGTAATAAGTAACTAGTTTGAAACACTATGTGAATAGCGAACATTATGACAAAATGTAACATCATTGTGCACTGACCTACATTGTACGACAAATGTTAAGTATACTCGTATTATTTTACTTAATGCAATTGTATCTTGCAACATAATTATTTTGTTAGGATTTTATGAATAATGATTAATTTTATAGTATCATCGGAAAGATATACACTGTTTTGAGTATATAGTTTCTATTTTTTATTGGCAAATAAAAGAAAAGTGTCATTAAAAATGAATTTAATGAATGAGCTATTTAAACGTATAATTTTGGTGTGCATTAAAACTTTTCAACTACTTCAACTGTTCTACTAACTAGAATTTAAAATAAAAGTTGTAGGAGAACAATTTAAGAGAGAAATATTTGACAAATTATCAAAAAGTGTGTTTAATAATTTGTTTATTCATACTACTTATAAATAAGACTTTTGCGTTATAGACAGATAATTCCAATGCCATCAAACTTTTACTTTATTTTCAAATTTTCACTAAGTTAAAAGTGTGAAATTGACACTTACAGAGTATAAAAATCTATGTGATTCTAAATATACATTAATAAAAGCTTAAGATTGTCTATAGTGAATCATTCTTTACACTTAAAATAGTCTCAAACAAAGAACTCCCTTCATATTATTAATTGAATTAAAATAAATCCATTTTAAAATTATGATAATTCATTTTACATAAATTGAGATTGCTATATAAGATATTTTTTAATGCAACATTACGCTATCATCTTACATTTATTTGATATATATAAGAATGAGATTTCATAAAATTATTTAAAATTATTTTAGAATATTTTATCTTATATTAAAATAAAATTTTCTTATAGTATAGCTGAATAAAAAATGAACTTTAAAAGATATCCTAAAACAAAGTTAACAAAAATATATTATAATAACAACAAAATTAGAAAAAATAATGTATCGTAGAAACAACATGTGCACGATTACTTTTAGTGCAACTGTAGTAATAAAATTGGTGAATAATGTAATATTAACATAGGCTATTTCACTTATGGACTTACGAAAAAAATGACAAATTTCATAAGTGTAAGTGGTGACAGATTTAGCTAACACAATTTGCCTTTACCTGTTATGCAAGATGCGCCAAACAAAATGTGTTTTTTTGGGTTCTGTATTACATAATTCAACATAACTGTATATTTATGCTAGGAAACTTGAAAATGTTTCACATTTTTAAGTGAACATCATATATAAAGGAGTATGTTGTGAGTTTTTATTCCCCTTAAACAATAACAGTAACAATTCTACTATACTTGAACTTAATATTTATTTATTATGTCTGCTATATATTTTATTCTGACTAGTAAAATTAATTTATGCATAGTACCCAATAAAAGTTAATGAACTATATATGATTATAATTATAAAATGGTTATAATATTTATTATTTATATAAATAAATATTAAAACATAGTATTATTAATAAAACGCTTTTAGAAATTAGAGCTAAATTTAGGTCTATTGACTGACTAGGAAAATTATTTATTTATTTATATAACATAAATCCAAAGAAGTAGGCATAAAAATTAAACAACTAAACGTTTTATACAGCTAAATCTAATTAAAAATAACTCAATATAAATGTATCATATTTTAAACAAATATTACATATTTCAAAAATGAAAGGTTTAAAGGAACAAAACAAAACTATAACCTAGAAGAGTCAGAGAATAGTAGGGAATAAACACAGTGGATACCAGTATAGATTAATATCTGGTAAAAATTACCAACACTAACATAAAAAGCTAATTTATAAAAAAAACTTTATGAGGTACTGATATTTGGGCTAAGATGATTAAAAAATAACTCGTAGAATACTAGTCGTCAGAATGTGTTTTTTTAGGCACAAGGTATATTCATAAAGTTTAAATTTATGTATGTTTAAAGGATACTGACGTTCCAAAACATTTTCAAAATTCAAAATAAATAATTTTTTTTTGCAAAAATAGCATATTTTTTGTTTGGCGTTCGATTTATTCTAATAAAAAAATCTTTAGAACACTATTTTTAATTTAAAGTACAATTTAAAATCTTTAATTTGATTAAAGTTAAATAAATACAGACGGTTGAAAATATTCTAAAAAATAGAAAAAAAATATTTGTACACATGAGTGGTTTTCTGGAAACC